TCAAAATGCAAACAAAAAAACACACTATGGTGATAATATATGTGGCATTGTCCTTGAAACTGATTGGTCCACACCCGAGGGACGGCTTTCTTTTGAGCCTCGACCCAATTGGTGCTCGACCACATGACGCCAGAAGGCCTTCAGTTTCAAGGACAATGCATATATTATAATCATAGTATGTTTTTTTAATTGCATTTTGACTGCAGGTATTGTGGTTAATGCAGACATGAATCCTTGTAAAAAGGTTTCAGTTTTGTTGCCAGAAAAAAGGGGGAAAACCCTATTATTACATTTTGGTACTGGCAAAAGAGGTCTAATGATGTAGATGCTCACCCCGAGCCCTCATTACATTGATAGTGGCATTGTCTTTGAGCTGTGTGACGCCTTCTGGCGTCATCTGGTCGAGCACCAATTGGGTCGAGGCTCAAAAGAAAGCCGTCCCTTGGTGTGGACCAATCAGTTTCAAGGACAGTGCATAAATTATCAAGTACGTTTTTTGATTGCATTTTGACTGCAGGTAATGTGGTTAATGCAGACATGAATCCTTGTAAAAGGTTTCAGTTTTGTTGCCAGAAAAAAGGGGGAAAACCATATTATTACATTTTGGTACTGGCAAAGGAGGTCTAATGATGAAAGGATCGTGTTTACATACCCTGTGTGTGTGTGTGATAATCCCTATGATGTCTTTACATACCCTGTGTGTGTGATAATCATTATGATGTGGAGAGCGCTCGTACAACGGTTAAGAACCCGGCGAACCGAGTTCGATTCCCGCTCACGGCCAACACCCAGTGACGATTATCTGAAACCCGTCGTGGGCATCCCCTAGGTTGACTCGGCCTCAAATTAGTACATTGTGCAGTGTGTAGTAAACATCGCCACTGGGGAGACAAAGGCGGCCGGGCGTGGTGCTGGCCACCCACCCCCTCGTATGCCGATCCGGCCTTCATAGGTATTATTCGGTAATATTCATGCATGATGCATGAATTTTGTTTTTAAATTAATTTAGGACTTTTTAAAGGAAGGTCCATCATCTGTGATTTGTCTCGATTCATTCGGGGTTCTTGAGTTTTTAATTTTTGAATGGCACCTTAAGAGGAAGAAAATTCGATATTAAAACGATGATTATAGTTACACTATTGACTTAAGGAATAAACACTTCAAATGTTTGATGCCAGTGTTAAAATAATTGAAATAACTCTATGTGTCCTGACTTGTGGGCCACCCTGTACAAAACATGTGCAGCGAGTGTGATGATGATGACTGCTACTACCGATGATGTTAGTTTGCTGCTGCTGATGGTGCTATTGACGGTGAAGATGCTTCTGATGATGATGCAACTGATGATTATGTTATTGATGATGATGCTACTGATGATTATGATGTTATTGATGATGCTACTGATGATGTTTCTGATGATGATGCTACTGATGATAATACTGCTGATGATGATGCTACTGATGATGCTCCTGATGATGATGCTACTAATCGATGATGTTATTGATGATGAAGTTGCTCCTAATGATGATGTTATTGATGATGATGATGATGAAGATGCTCCTGATGATGCTACTGATGATGGTGCCTCTGATGATGATGCTACTGATGATGATACCTCTGATGATGATGCGACTGATGATGCTGCTGCTACTGATGATACTAATTATGATGATGCTACTGATGATGATGCCTCTGATGATAATGCTAATGATGATGATGCTAATGATGATGATGCTATTGATGATGATGCCTCTGATGATGATGCCTCTGATGATGATGCTACTGATGATGCGAATGATGATAATACTCCTGATGATGATGATGCTTCTGATGATGATGCTACTGATGATGATGCTGCTGATGATGCTACTGATGATGACGCTACCCATGATGATGTTAATGATGATTAAGATGCTCATGATGATAATGCTACTGATGATAATGCTCCTGATGATGATGCTTCTGATGATGATTCCACTGATGATACTAATTATGATGATGCTACTGATGATGATGCCTCTGATGATAATGCTAATGATGATGATGCTAATGATGATGATGCTATTGATGATGATGCCTCTGATGATGATGCCTCTGATGATGATGCTACTGATGATGCGAATGATGATAATACTCCTGATGATGATGATGCTTCTGATGATGATGCTACTGATGATGATGCTGCTGATGATGCTACTGATGATGACGCTACTCATGATGATGTTAATGATGATTAAGATGCTCATGATGATAATGCTACTGATGATGCTCCTGATGATGATGCTACTAATCGATGATGTTATTGATGATGAAGTTGCTCCTAATGATGATGTTATTGATGATGATGATGATGATGAAGATGCTCCTGATGATGCTACTGATGATGGTGCCTCTGATGATGATGCTACTGATGATGATACCTCTGATGATGATGCGACTGATGATGCTGCTGCTACTGATGATACTAATTATGATGATGCTACTGATGATGATGCCTCTGATGATAATGCTAATGATGATGATGCTAATGATGATGATGCTATTGATGATGATGCCTCTGATGATGATGCCTCTGATGATGATGCTACTGATGATGCGAATGATGATAATACTCCTGATGATGATGATGCTTCTGATGATGATGCTACTGATGATGATGCTGCTGATGATGCTACTGATGATGACGCTACTCATGATGATGTTAATGATGATTAAGATGCTCATGATGATAATGCTACTGATGATAATGCTCCTGATGATGATGCTTCTGATGATGATTCCACTGATGATGCTATTGATGATGATGATGCTCCTGATTATGCTAATGATGATGGTGCCTCTGATAATGATGCTACTGATGATGCTGCTGCTACTGATGATGATGCCTCTGATGATAATGCTAATGATGATGATGCTAATGATGATGATGCTATTGATGATGATGCCTCTGATGATGATGCCTCTGATGATGATGCTACTGATGATGCGAATGATGATAATACTCCTGATGATGATGATGCTTCTGATGATGATGCTACTGATGATGATGCTACTGATTATGCTGCTGCTACTGATGATGATGCCTCTGATGATGATGCTACTGATGATGACGCAGTTGCTGCTGCTACTGATAACGATTCAACCCTTTTTGATATTCACACTCCCGACATCGCTCCCGTCTCCAACGCGTCACACGACACCGACTGTGCAAAAAAGCACCCCCACACACACACAGCCAGTTGGCGACAATTGCTATGCATTCATAAATAACTACATCACCACGAATACATAGCGTGCCTGGACTCAGAGATCTTTTTTTTACGAGCTCTTGGCTTCGGCATCAGCACCAGCCACAGACAAAGGCTCCTGGATAACCAAACGGAGACTGTCGTGTTAAGTGCTGTCAGCTTGATGTCCTTCCCCCAGCGCCTCGGACGAGCGCGGTTGGCTATGTACGGCGCGAAAGAAGTTCAAGAGACACACACACATACCGAGGCCCAGAACAGAGGAGATTTTCTTCATGAGGTGGTGTGGACAACACCACGCCCGGCCGCCTTTGTCTTCCAAGTACTGGTGTTTGGACATCATCACGCCAGGTAGTCATTTGAGGCTGCGTCGATCTAGGGGAGGGGGGCCGGCATTTGTTGGCCGTGGCCAGAAATGTAACTGAGGTCGCCGGGCCGGTAGAGCAATGTGCTAACGGCTACGTAGCTGAGAAACAAAGACAAAGATCCCCCGTATAGCCATTGCCGACTTTTGGGATAAGTGCTGTTAGCGAGCACCTATGAATGTCGGCATGGCACACGAGGGGTGTGGGTGGCCGCCTTTGTATCCCACAGTAGCGACGTTTTACACATCCGACCAGGTACCCATTTTAGGCTGAGTCGACCTAGCGGAGGCCCGGGACCGGTGCAGATAATCCGTCATAAACTGGTGAATGGAACTCGGGTCGCCGGGTTCGCATTGCGCAGCGCAATAACCACCCCACACACACACACACCGACATACACACACACACACCGACACACCGACACACCAACACACCGACACACACACACATCAACCCTCTGATCACCCGAGAATTCGTGGCTATTGCCAAGAGGAGCAAGGTGACACGTGGGTGTCTGTGTGTGATGTGCGACGGAGGCTCGTGAAGGACGCTGACGCTGGGCAGTCGGAGGCAGTCGCCCTCCAGCAACTACGGAGGGCGGGGAAGCGACCGCTCACAACAACGAGCCGAGCGCCGGGCAGGATAAAAGTTGGCACAGTGGGGAGTGCAGTTGGGACATCTGCCATGCCAGTCATCTGAGTCAGTCAAACTCGTGGCACCTGGGTCTGTACCGTGACCTCCTGCCAGCATCGGGCCGTCCACACCTATCGTGGCCTCAAAGTGCACCTAGCTTGGCACAAGCGCCGCGGTGACGTTATCGTGGTACGGGGTGGACGCGGTGGGCAACATTTCACGGCGTTGCCTCGCCCACGGCTTTTGACTCACCGTCAGCGTCACACTCTTCACGAGTGTTGTTGAGTGTTTGAGAGGGGGGTTTTATTTTTTTCCGATGCGATGTTAATCTTTGGATTCGGCAAGCATTAAAAAAAAAACACGATGAGACGATATTTTATTGACACAGCTTCAGCAACGGAAAGGCTTCTAGCAGAGTTTGGCTCTGGCTTTCTGCGGGAGGGGGGAGGCCATGAATTTGAAAATGTTTAGGTTTTCGGATTTAAAAAAATATATATTATTATAATAATAATAATAAGACGTCAAGTTTCAATTCAACACCATTGGAAATCTCCAGATGTAAACATTTCGTAGCATTGGGATAAAAAAAAAGAAAAATCTATAATGGAGGTGTTTAGGGTTGGATCGCGTCAATGTGTAAATGTGTCGTTAAAACCCGCCACCACCCGACACAGCCAACGAGTCAGGGATGTCACGTGAACAGAACGTGGCCAATTCGTCACTACATGAATAAAAACATCTTTGGCGGCACACAGATGACATTAAAGTTGGGGTCTTTTTTTATTAATTTAAAATCTGATGTCCCATTCCGAGCGAAACACATTTTATGTTTTTTTGCGGGGCTTCAAGTTACTCACAACGTAAGGTTGTATTCCACCCTCCACACGCTTCGTAGCTGCTCCATCTAAGTTCAATCTTGATTTGAAGCTTTCGTGACTGCAGGAATCCATGCTCTTTGGTTCTGTCGGTAAAGTCACGTGGGTAGAACAATAGAACAAAATAAAAAATAACAGATCACGACGCTTCGATCGCAACACAAGCGGTCGCCCTCAGGCGGAAAAAAAAATCCAGCTGTTCCAATCTCTCGCTGGTTTAGCAGTTCCACTCTCTCGCTGGTTCACAGTTCCACTCTCTCGCTCGTTCAGCAGTTCCACTCTCTCGCTGATTCACAGTTCCACTCTCTCGCTGGTTCACAGTTCCACTCTCTCGCTGGTTCACAGTTCCACTCTCTCGCTGGTTCACAGTTCCACTCTCTCGCTGGTTTAGCAGTTCCACTCTCTCGCTGGTTCACAGTTCCACTGTCTCGCTGGTTCACAGTTCCACTCTCTCGCTGGTTAACAGTTCCACTCTCTCGCTGGTACAACAGTTCCACTCTCTCGCTGGTTCACAGTTCCACTCTCTCGCCGGTTCACAGTTCCACTCTCTCGCTGGTTCACAGTTCCACTCTCTCGCTGGTTTATCAGTTCCACTCTCTCGCTGGTTCACAGTTCCACTGTCTCGCTGGTTCAGCAGTTCCACTCTCTCGCTGGTACAGCAGTTCCACTCTCTCGCTGGTTCACAGTTCCACTCTCTCGCTGGTTCACAGTTCCACTCTCTCGCTGGTTCACAGTTCCACTGTGTCGCTGGTTTAGTAGTTCCACTGTCTCGCTGGTTCACAGTTCCACTGTCTCGCTGGTTCACAGTTCCACTCTCTCGCTGGTTCACAGTTCCACTCTCTCGCTGGTTTAGCAGTTCCACTCTCTCGCTGGTTCACAGTTCCACTCTCTCGCTGGTTCACAGTTCCACTCTCTCGCTGGTACAACAGTTCCACTCTCTCGCTGGTTCACAGTTCCACTCTCTCGCTGGTTCACAGTTCCACTCTCTCGCTGGTTCACAGTTCCACTCTCTCGCTGGTTCACAGTTCCACTTTCTCGCTGGTACAACAGTTCCACTCTCTCGCTGGTTCACAGTTCCACTCTCTCGCTGGTTCAGCAGTTCCACTCTCTCGCTGGTTCACAGTTCCACTCTCTCGCTGGTTCACAGTTCCACTCTCTCGCTGGTTCACAGTTCCACTCTCTCGCTGGTTCACAGTTCCACTCTCTCGCTGGTTCACAGTTCCACTCTCTCGCTGGTTCACAGTTCCACTCTCTCGCTGGTTCACAGTTCCACTCTCTCGCTGGTTTATCAGTTCCACTCTCTCGCTGGTTCACAGTTCCACTGTCTCGCTGGTTCAGCAGTTCCACTCTCTCGCTGGTACAGCAGTTCCACTCTCTCGCTGGTTCACAGTTCCACTGTCTCGCTGGTTCAGCAGTTCCACTCTCTCGCTGGTACAGCAGTTCCAATCTCTCGCTGGTTCGCAGTTCCACTCTCTCGCTGGTTCACAGTTCCACTCTCTCGCTGGTTCAGAGTTCCACTCTCTCGCTGGTTTAGCAGTTCCACTGTCTCGCTGGTTTAGCAGTTCCACTCTCTCGCTGGTTCACAGTTCCACTCTCTCGCTGGTTTAGCAGATCCACTCTCTCGCTGGTTCAGCAGTTCCACTCTTTCGCTGGTTCACAGTTCCACTCTCTCGCTGGTTCACAGTTCTACTCTCTCGCCGGTTCACAGTTCCACTCTCTCGCTGGTTCACAGTTCCACTCTCTCGCTGGTTTATCAGTTCCACTCTCTCGCTGATTCACAGTTCCACTGTCTCGCTGGTTCAGCAGTTCCACTCTCTCGCTGGTACAGCAGTTCCACTCTCTCGCTGGTTCACAGTTCCACTGTCTCGCTGGTTCAGCAGTTCCACTCTCTCGCTGGTACAGCAGTTCCAATCTCTCGCTGGTTCACAGTTCCACTCTCTCGCTGGTTCACAGTTCCACTCTCTCGCTGGTTCACAGTTCCACTCTCTCGCTGGTTCACAGTTCCACTCTCTCGCTGGTTCACAGTTCCACTCTCTCGCTGGTTCACAGTTCCACTCTCTCGCTGGTTCACAGTTCCACTCTCTTGCTGGTTCACAGTTCCACTCTCTCGCTGGTTCACAGTTCCAATCTCTCGCTGGTTCACAGTTCCACTCTCTCGCTGGTTCACAGTTCCACTCTCTCGCTGGTTCACAATTCCACTCTCTCGCTGGTTCACAGTTCCACTCTCTCGCTGGTTCACAGTTCCACTCTGTCGCTGGTTCACAGTTCCACTCTCTCGCTGGTTCACAGTTCCACTCTCTCGCTGGTTCACAGTTCCACTCTGTCGCTGGTTCACAGTTCCACTCTCTCGCTGGTTCACAGTTCCACTCTCTCGCTGGTTCACAGTTCCACTCTGTCGCTGGTTCACAGTTCCACTCTCTCGCTGGTTCACAGTTCCACTCTGTCGCTGGTTCACAGTTCCACTCTGTCGCTGGTTCACAGTTCCACTCTCTCGCTGGTTCACAGTTCCACTCTCTCGCTGATTCAACAGTTCCACAGCTGTATGATTTTTTCCCGCCTGAGGACGACCGCTCGTGTTGCGATTGAAACGTCGTGATGTATATTCTTTTTTAGTTTTATTTTATTTTTCCACCCACGTGACTTCACAGAAAGAACCAAACAGTATAATCCATCTTAGCTGTTACCCCACGTGCCAGCGAGCGCTCCCAGGCCCGTCCGGCCGCGAGCCCTCGACCGTCCTGTTTTGAACGTTCGTATAACGTTGGCGACGCGACGTTGGGCAACGGCTCACGGGCACACACCCTCGATAGCACGCACGAGACAATTGAACACACGAGGCTTTCGCGCCATGAGGCTATCCGCGCGAGGCTCACGAATGACATTCGCGATGTTTATATATGTTGTTGTTTTACGTGTAAGTAAATCTGTCGTGTGAAACCCTCCTCCACCCGACGCGGCCAATTGGTAAGGATTGCCACGTCGTTAACTCGAAGTGTAAATGTCGTTGTGGTCTTCCTCTCCCCGACACACCGGTGGTGCTGAAGTACCTCGGCCTGGCACAACGGGAGGGGGTCGTGGGATCGATGCTGACCCCTGCTGCAATCGTTTGAGGGCTGAGTCGACCTAGGTGATGCCCGACACCGGTTCAAACAATCGCCACGGGTGTTGGTGGTTAGCCGTGGGCGGGAATCGAACTCATGGAGTCGCAGCCACCGCTCCCCATTGCCAAGGCCCTCACGTGGCACACTGCCGGGAACACTCCACTCTCGCCTCCGTAACCCCCACGGAGGCGCTGCTAGGGGAACGGAGTCAGCTCTGCTGCTTTGTTTGCACTCTTTGTGTGTGTGCTGTGTGTGTGTGCTGTGTGTGTGTGCTGTGTGTGTTTGTGCTGTGTGTGTGTGCTGTGTGTGTGTGTCTGCTGTGTGTGTGTGCTGTGTGTGTGTGCAGTGTGTGTGTGTGCTGTGTGTGTGCTGTGTGTGTGTGTGCTGTGTGTGTGTCTGCTGTGTGTGTCTGCTGTGTGTGTGTCTGCTGTGTGTGTGTTTGCTGTGTGTGTGTCTGCTGTGTGTGTGTGTGTGTCTGCTGTGTGTGTGTCTGCTGTGTGTGTTTCTGCTGTGTGTGTGTGCTGTGTGTGTGTGGTGTGTGTGTGCTGTGCTGTGTGTGTGTGGTGTGTGTGTGCTGTGTGTGTGTGGTGTGTGTGTGCTGTGTGTGTGTGGTGTGTGTGCTGTGTGTGTGGTGTGTGTGTGCTGTGTGTGTGTGGTGTGTGTCTGCTGTGTGTGTCTGCTGTGTGTGTGTCTGCTGTGTGTGTGTCTGCTGTGTGTGTGTGTGCTGTGTGTGTGTGCTGTGTGTGTGTGGTGTGTGGTGTGTGTGTGGTGTGTGTGGTGTGTGTGTGGTGTGTGTGTGTGGTGTGTGTGTGTGCTGTGTGCTGTGTGTGTGTGTGCTGTGTGTGTGTGCTGTGTGTGTCTGCTGTGTGTGTGTGTGTTGTGTGTGTGTGTGGTGTGTATGTGGTGTGTGTGTTTGGTGTGTGTGTGTGGTGTGTGTGGTGTGTGTGTGCTGTGTGATGTGTGTGTGTGTGTGCTGTGTGTGTGTGCTGTGTGTGTCTGCTGTGTGTGTGTGCTGTGTGTGTGTGGGTGTGTGGTGTGTGTGTGTGTGGTGTGTGTGTTTGCTGTGTGCTGTGTGTGTGTGTGTGCTGTGTGTGTGTGCTGTGTGTGTGCTGTGTGTGTGTGTGTGGTGTGTGTGGTGTGTGTGTGTGTGGTGTGTGTGTTTGCTGTGTGCTGTGTGTGTGTGTGCTGTGTGTGTGTGCTGTGTGTGTCTGCTGTGTGTGTGTGCTGTGTGTCTGCTGTGTGTGTGTGTGCTGTGTGTGTGCTGTGTGTGTGTGCTGTGTGTGTCTGCTGTGTGTGTGTGCTGTGTGTGTGTGTCTGCTGTGTGTGTGTCTGCTGTGTGTGTGTGCTGTGTGTGTGTGTGTGCTGTGTGTGTGTGCTGTGTGTGTCTGCTGTGTGTGTGTTTGCTGTGTGTGTGTCTGCTGTGTGTGTGTGTCTGCTGTGTGTGTGTGTCTGCTGTGTGTGTGTGTCTGCTGTGTGTGTGTGGTGTGTGTGTGTGCTGTGTGTGTGTTGTGTGTGTGTGTGCTGTGTGTGTCTGCTGTGTGTGTGTGCTGTGTGTGTGTCTGCTGTGTGTGTGGTGTGTGTGTGCTGTGTGTGTGTGCTGTGTGTGTGTGTGTGTCTTCTGTGTGTGTGTTTGCTGTGTGTGTGTGTCTGCTGTGTGTGTGTGTCTGCTGTGTGTGGTGTGTGTGTGCTGTGTGTGTGTGTGCTGTGTGTGTGCCTGCTGTGTGTGTGTGTGTCTGCTGTGTGTGTGTCTGTTTGCTATGTGTGTGTCTGCTGTGTGTCTGTTTGCTGTGTTGGTGTCTGCTGTGTGTGTCTGCTATGTGTGTGTGTTTCTGCTGTGTGTGTGTGTGTGCTGTGTGTGTGTGTGCTGTGTGTGTGTGCTGTGTGTGTGTGTGCTGTGTGTCTGCTGTGTGTGTGCTGCTGTATGTGTGTCTGCTGTGTGCGTGTTTGCTGTGTGTGTGTGTGTCTGCTGTGTGTGTCTGCTGTGT